ACCTCCACACTGGTGCCCATCTTATTACCTGGCATCTTTCTTTCCATTATTTGCCCCGCAGCTATAGTCTATATTTCATACAGAAATGAATCCACTGGAATGGATCTCATCTCTGCCATGGACTACTTCCTCACTGGTCTGCTTTAGCACTGCCCTCTGTATTTGATTGGCCAATACCAGATTCCTCTAAGTCCCCTCCACCCTTTTCCTGTATACCATTTTTCACTTGTGCCGACCTCTGGATGACTGTTTCTATGTCTCAGCTTTCTTACCTTCCTCAGCCTCCCTAAAATCTTGTCATTTCTTCTCAAATCCTTTTACAGTCCTCCTCCTTTCCAGTTTTGTCCTCTCTTGCACCCACTTCCTTCAGAGCATTATTTCCAATCATTTTCTTAACTCTTTATTTTTTTCCTCTTGCTTCCTAGCACTCACTTGCTATACCTCATCAAAGGCTTCTCTTTTTACCTTTTAGACCTTCCCTAGGTGACCATTCTCAGCTTCTGTCATCCTTCAGCCTTTACTTTTCTTGCCTTGCTTTCTCCTGTGCAGATTTTCTTCAAGTGACAAAACAAGGTACCCAATTCTCTCATTTCTGACCCTTAGAAGAATAGTTCCACTTCCTTCTGTCCTTTCTTCTTCAAGCCATAGTTTGGGAAAGATAACAGTACCATGATGTGTCTACCATGGAAAACTCAAAAAAAAATCCAATGGAATTCCTAAAAATTGTGAAGTGAAACTGGTTTAATTAATGGCATCAATCAGGTCATCTTCGCTTTGAACAAGAACACCTGTGCAGACAGATAGAGATGATTTAACTAATTCCCTTTGTATTTATACTTCTAGGTAATCTAGATTACCTCCACTGGCCTTTGAAAAACCCTCACCATATCATGGTCATTTTTCAGCAGTCTCTGGTGCCTTGCTCTTGTATGTCTTTCCTTCTTCTGCCTGTACTTCTTGGCAGGGTTAATCTCTTTTCTCCTGCTGTATGAAACCTGGCAGAACCATACCACCCCTGTTGGACTCTGGCAGCACCAGAACAAACAAGGTCTATAGCAGCTGTGCCTCAGAGCAAGGGCTAAGATGGGTGGCAGCACCCCATCCAAGCTGCCCTGCAAGGGGAACAGCCATCAATTTTCTGGGAGATGAGGCTGTCTGGAGCAAATCTGCTGCTGCAAGTCAGATGCAGAATTCAGTATTTCCTCATACTTGGAATATTTGGCACAGTGATTATGAAAATAAATGACAATCAATTCTTTTTTTTAAAATAAGAGGGTACAAAGATCATTTTGATGCAAATTCTTTTGAGAAGCCAATTTTCCCTATGAGAATGCTGGCATTTAAATGCATTTTAAGAGCTAAGAAAAACACTTCATTTATTCTTTGTTGCCAGACACGAACACTGTGTTTCAGATTTGTCTCAAAAACTTCCTGAGCAAGTGGGCTGGCCTTGTTAACCTCACTTCTGCTAGGTGCCAATAGTCCTTTGAGCCTATTGATTGTTTTTCAGGATAAGAAAGAGATTAATGTTTTGAATACACATCAGAACTTATCTGCACTGTTCAAAAAGGACATATAATTGAAACAGAGATAAGTCTATTGTTTTGAAATAAAATAGGCAGAAAACTATTTTTCATTTATTTTTCATGAGGACACTGAACCACTTATTTTTGGTCAATGGGTCAAAAGTTTTGCCACCCTTCTTGGGTTTTGCTATCTTGAGCAAATGATTTTCCACAATTCATTGGAACTGTGTAAAACTGAAGGAATTGAACCTTCACTAGTCAGTGTTGTCAGCACCTGGACGGCTAACCAAGGGAATCTGTTACATTCAACACTGATTTCCAGTGGGTCCATTACAACTCCTTACTTGAGGTGATGGGTATTTAGCCTTAGGACTATCAGGGTCTGGGAAAAATGCTCACTAGAATTGTTCCAAGTCTCTAAAAGAGCAATTGAACATAAAGGATCATCTTTAGTTCAATGAATCCATCAGCTGGAAATCACTGCTCATCAGAGAAGTACTGTAGAGAACAATTGCTATACATTTGCTCTATTCTCCTCCTCTTTCCTAGGCATCAGCCTTTGGCCATTCCCAAAGACAGGATGCTGACAATGACAGGATCTAGGTGAAACTTTGGTTTTACCCAAAAAAAGACATTACTGGTGCTGTGACATGAGTTGCCACTACAGAGAGCAGCTACTCTGGTCAGTTCCAGTAGAAAGCTCACATAAGGGTAAGGGGTCAAAAATCTCATCCCATCCACATCATCTAGGAAAAGGATCCACATGAACTTCCACCAAAGGTAACTGGACCCAAATTGTATCTTTCTGACCCAGAAAAGAACATGAACAATGGCTGCTCTGAGTCAAACACTCCCTGCATCATACATAGAAGGCAGCTATCCTTCCTCCCAAGATAAAGCTGAGGAAAGCTAAGGGAGATGCTATGTTTTTAGTCAAGTACTGTTCAGTATGAAGTCTTAATCCTGAGTACATCCATAAATCAGACAGACAAATCTGTCCAGCTTCCAGTTAGCTTCTAAACATGACCTAGCATGATCCAGACTGGACGTAAGCAACTTGTGTATATAAGCAGAAAGCCATGAGAACGCTCTTTTCCACGCGGCCCATTGATGTGCAGCATCCTAGTAATAGGTCACTGCAGACATCCTTATGTACCCCTGCTGCTTTGTCATGGCCTCACAGTGGATTCAGGTTCAACATCTGAGACACTTGTCCCCGAGGCACGGTGGGGTTTGGGTCCCTGCTGTCCAAAAGGCTTCCTGTTACTGCAGTGCAATGATTGCAGCTGACAATTTAACTCCATGTCAAGGCAGCAGTGGTTTGGGTGCCAGAGAGAGTCTTCCCCAGGAGCTCGCATGAACTTGAGATTGCCAAGAGGTGTGTGGGGGCCCAGCATTGCAAGCCCCCAGACAGGAATCGAGCTGAGCAGCTTCTGGCCCATGGGGACACAAGTCAAGGCCAGGTTGGACAGGGCTTTGAGCAGCCTGGTCTAGTGGAAGGTGTCCCTGCCTATGACAAGGGAGCTGGAACTGGGTGATCTTTAAGGACCCTTCCAACCCAAACTGTTCTATCATTCTGTAACACCAGTGCCTGTGGGCCTGGACAGAAACATGAGGCAAACACTCCTCTCTCTTGCATTCATTAGTTTCCCAGTAATCCCAAAGAACATCACTATCTTCAGGGGCGCAATGATTCTCATTTTTGGCACAATGATTCTGTTCTTTGATGTGTCGTAGGTGATGATATTTTGGCTTAATTAGATTAGGCTGGTACCAGACAGTCTGGGACCACTAAGATTCCTCAGTGTGAGGTGCTACGGCCTGAGGAGCTGTCATGCTGATCCGTGATTTCCTCTGCAAAACAGGGAGGAGAGAATACACATTCCAAACTTTCCAGTCTAAAGGACTTTGTGAAATTCCTTTAGTTCTAGTTCACTAGCAATACCTTAAGCCCCACCTTCTGGTGAATTACTAAAGTGCAGGGAGAGACAACGCCCCGGGTCAAGTTAAAACAAGAATTTTGACGACAATACTATTAAAATAGAAAAATACCTGATTCTTCAGGATAATTCACTTCAACAAAGTGTCGGAAAATTAGTTTTAAAAGGCATCATAGTGTTTTTTGAAAGGCACCAAGTAGTTTTATCATGTTCAATTCCATTTTCTTCAGTTGATATAAACTGTCATGCTATAAAATAGACTTTTTATTTTAAGCAGTTTTCTCTCTCTTCTCAGCAGTGGCAGCGAACATACACAAATCAAAACTAGTCTGATCATAACCACAGGCTGAATCATGGGATGACACTAGCAAGTTGTGAGAGAACAGGAAGAAACAGGGCGATGGCCCAAGAAGGTGCTTTTCACCCTCTGAAAAGAGGCTTTTCTCTAACTTGTGCTAACCAAGAGGAAAAAGCATCAATTTCTGAAATCTCTTATTTACTGAAGGACCTAAGGCACAGATTTTAAAACATGATCTAGAGATACCACATTAAGCTAAAATCACATCAATGTATTTTTTCCCACATAAATTACAGCAACTACTGTTAGCCTCAGTGCAGTGTCTCTGAAGTAAGGCAAGCTATAGAAACATAATCTGTAATTTATGTATGGCCATAAATAAAGATGAAAGAGAGTCCCAGCTCCTTTTGGCACAATTTTTCAAAGTCTTTAATACCTAGCAGCTCAAACTCAGAAAGACACTGTTCTAGTCCTGATGGAACTAGAGATGAGAAATGTTCCCGAATAACCCCAGTGACAGAAGTTGGAAGGAAGAACCAAATGGAAAGACAGCAAGATCCTGTTCTCTTATTGTAAAGTCACCTATGTTGTCTCAGAAATTTTAAAGTCACTCATCAATACCAAGAATAAGGATTATAAGAATATGGTAATGCTTTCATCTATTAGTCCTATTGGAGAGAAACTGAAAATTCTTCTCTTCAACGGAAATGCTCTACAATAGTCAGGTCTACATTCCATGTGGAATGAGGCATGAAGATCTGTCAACACAAATGGAAACAGCTGGCCACTATATCTTGCTTAGGAAGACCATGGTTTGGACCATTACATTTTACTTCTGTCCGTAATGTGGCTTTCAAAGTTCCACATCCACTGCTGTCAAGAGAAGATGCTGTGAAACAGAACATAAAATGTATTGCACCCTGTGCTACCCTCACACAGCAAAAGAAAACATTGAATGAAACACACTTCTCTTCACGCAGGATGACTGCTATCTCTCAGCCCAAGAACTGCTCCCCTTTTACTGGGAGAAGGCAGCAGGTAGTGATGATCAGGTGAGTGTCTATTTTTGGCCAGTAAATTACTTTTCTCTTAGATATAGCTGAACATAAAGTGTACTATTTAGAATATTTATAACAGGAGACGGGCTGTGAAGATGAGTGACCTGGTTTTGTTCTTACTTTTGTGGGGAAACTAAACACAAATCCAGTGGATACAATAACAGCAGAGGAAATCAAATTAAGTCTTGAAGGTCTACACGACTTTACTGTTTAAAAAGAAAATACACTTAAATAATGATGTGGCACACATCCTCCTTCACTCATGCTTCCCCAGTTTGTCACCTCACCTCTACTCAAAAGAACTTAAGCTAGACCTAGCTACACAAGCAAAACCCCTGGGCTTACCTGCTCTGATGCAGAGGTCTGCTCAGGAGGATGAGCTGTATCCAAATCATTCCAGCATAGGCTCAAGTACTTTCTCAAAGTTCAGAGTTCTTTCTTATGAATTCCTCAAAGCAAAGTGTGTTCCTTGCACAACAAAATTTGTGGTGCCACACGGGGGAGCTTGGAGATTGTGCTGTGGCTAAAGCTCACCACTTCCAAATCATGAGAAAAGGACCGCTCAGCAGCATTAACAACTGCAGTCACTAGAAACGCTGTTCTGGAAAGGCTGTTGAAAATCATGACACATGCATACACACTACACGAACACTTTAATAAAGATGTTCCTTTTTAACATGATTTTAGGAGACACTCATTGAGTTTGCCTTGAAAAAGCAGGCCAAACCCATAACTTATAGCAGAACAGAAATCTTATACAGTCTTTATCCACTATAGTTTGGGAGAAGACTATAAATGCAAAAAAAAGACCACCTTTTCCCCCAAATGCACCTGTGAAAGTATCTGTTGATTTTCTTTGAACACTTGCATGAGAGGGAAGCTATTACATTACTCACACCTTTATCTTCCTCCCCACCAAAGGAAGAAAGATGTCCCAGCACAGTGCTAGGAAATACTTACCTTTTTTACACACTATTTTCTAAATGGCGTTACATTTTACTGCTTTTTTTTTGTGTGTTGGTACAAAGTGTGAGCAGGAAGGCACATGATTTTAATAATTTGCACAGCAGCTATTTGATTATTTTTTTATTTATTTATTATTTTATAAAAAACATATTCCTATGTAAAGACTTTTAATTAGGCAAGAAATGTGCTTCCTTTGGACAATTGGCTTGGTTCACAGCAATACCTGTGTAATTAATGTTTATTTATTAGAAAAGCATCCCTGAATCAGTAAATGTATTGACTCTGCTGAAAACCACTATGTCAGTCTGCTTTAGTAGCTTCATAAATATAAATAATCTACATCTAATACAAAAAAAAAAATTACCTGAAAAACATCATCTGCATCTAACAGGAAAACAAACTGAAGCTGAAAAACATTCCTGTAATTGAAAAAGTCAAATCCTGAGCAGCCATTATGTTTGGTGTAGCAATCTTTTTTTTTCTTTAAAAAATACTTTCTCATAACCTTAATTCAACAAGTTCATACTACTTGATTGTGAACTGGGCCCAATATTTACAATATTACTACAAATAATCAAAGGTCAATGTAATTAACAAAATGGATCAAATTCATTCTTTTGGAAGAAAAAAAGACAGATTTTGCTGGCATTTTGGAGAGCTGGCTTGGTGTAGAGTGTTACTTTGGTATCAATGCATTTTAAACATAAATCACTGGCTAAAGGACTGATGGCTAAGACAGCATTATACTGCTGGAAACTAAGTTACCAGTGATATAACGTAAATCAAGGCAGTAATGCATTAGTTTAAAGATATGTAAATATTTATTTGAATTCTGAAGCATAATAGCTGTAATTTTTCATTGCTTTGATATCCAAGGATTCCTAGTACTACACAAATGTATTTTATCTGCTTTGTTTTTTTTTGTTTCGGTACTGTCAGTCAAAGCAAAGTAACTCCCATTTCTTTGTATCACACTGAAATAAAGAATCTTGTTTCAGTCCATAATGCTTTTCTTATTCTTTCTGGTCTGTCTCCGTCAGTGTTTGTTTTATGAGCATCAAACCCCAGATACTAGTTCCTAGTGTCCATCTCCCAGTACGCTGGCTCCCAGCCCTCTGTACATACACACCCCAAAGGCACACCAGGCAACACTGACAGTGCACTTGGTGCTTCCATCTAGGGCTCTGCAGAGTCTGAGCAGCACTGCCACTGCTATCAGACCACTGGGACTTCGGCAACGTGATCCCTTTTTCTAGTAGATTCCCATTAGGATTCTTGTTGGAACCTGGGAAAGCAGGCCCTACCCTGCATTTCCCATTTCTCAGGAGACTGCCAGAGTCGTTGTGATTTTCTGTTGCTGAGACTGCTGTCACTTTCTGCTAAGACCACAGAAGTCCTAAATAAATAAACACAAATCTCCCTCTGACTTCCATCTAAAAAGCTTCTAACCAGGTCTACTGCTAAGTACTTTGCTCTATGGAGACTCATGCTTCCATCAGTTTGGAAATGAGAACATTCAGGAGCAGACAATATTCAAACAAAAAGGTAAAGACTGACAGGTGGTGGGAGAAAGCTGAATTTCCCAACATAAGTACTGGTCTCAGTACTGTGTGCTTCTGCAAGAGCTGTTTTCTGTTGCACCAAAAAGGCAGCTTTTGACTGCACAGGTCACAGCGAGGTGAGAAATAACTGGCTGCTCTGTGCCTCTGAACAGATTTCAGGTGCAGCAGGAGTGATGAGGTCAGAACAAGGAGAAACAATCAATTCCCATGCAGAGAAGCTCTACCTTAATTCCCAAACTACTTATGTCCCCCATTTTTTCCTAACAGCATCCAGAGCACCTCAGTTTCACATTTCATATGCTTTTTACAAGACAATTATTGTACTTATTATTTTTGTGCTGATTGTCACAGAAAATTAAGTATACACTTAACAAAAGTCTGCATTTAGGAACTCAATACTCTTTTTACTTATGCAGCTTCACAATAATCATATGAAGTTGAAAACAAAATATTAGTCCTGCTTACGCACAATGAGCTTTAATAGCTTACTGTGCTCTGCATCACAACAGTTAGTTTTCAAAATACAAAAAAAAATAAATTTAGCTGCTGACATTTATGTAAATGTTAAATTTCCTCTCCAAATATGCATCTTCTCTACATAGATATGCATCGAAATATCAGATGCATTCCATGAGAACACAAAAAAAAAAATTCAATTCCACTAGCTGAAAATAAATCAGCTGCAGTGTCACAGCTACAGTGCAGGACACTGCCACTGGACTGCTTCACAGAGAAGGAAAGGATTTTATCTTATTCCCTGCCTTTAATAGCATCCAACAGGATTTGCACTCCTGTGGAATGAGATGACGGTGATGGTGATATGGATGGCCCCCCTCTCATTCAGGATCATACTCATTAGAATACAATGAATAACTGCTTTTTATGAGACTGCCTAGTCCTAAACTGGTCACCTCTCAAGTAAAACAGATGGTGCTTACTTACAATACTATAATGTTTTTAATAGGACACACCCTTTTCAGAGTTGTTCTCCACCTCCTAGGCAGGACATATCTTTTATCAATTAAAGTAGGGCACCTCCTTTGCGTGTGTAACTATAGGCTTGTTGCACATCAGGTAATGAATCTGACTTTGTGGACAATGCTGTGAGTAGGCTGCTAGGGAGCCTGTCCTGGAGGGGATGTGGAAAATTAAAGACACACCCACACCACCCCAGGAGCAACCTCCTATGGCAGAGTACACATTTTGATGTGGATCACACAGATTTTGAGTGTGGTGCACACTGAGGGGCAACAGGAAATCACCATAATTCTGGCAGTCTCCTGAGAAATGGGAAATGTCTGCTTATTTTACCCAGTCTCACAGATACTAATTAGAGGGTTTCAAAACAACTAACAGTCCAAATATTTATTGTGAGTACACGGTCACAACATGATGTGTAGTATTGTGAGCACCTCTGAAAGGACAGACAAGCAAACAGAATTTATTCCCTTCCTGTAGTGCACATGTACTACACGTAGTGCAGCACATGTACACGTACATGTAGCTACATGTACACATGCAGCATGTCCTTGGGCTTATGTGTTACAGCTGAACTCACCTAAGCAGGCTTGTTGCCTTCAAAATAATGGATTCTACTTCCCAGTGTAGAGAACTTCTACTTCAGGCCACTGTCTTCACTTCTTTCCAGATCATGCTCTGGTACTCATCACATAATGAGCTTGTCCAAGTCACTAATCTGCTGAAAAACTATTTCTCTTTTTTTTTATCGCTGAATTTGTTTTCTGCCAGATTAGTGACCTGAACTGACTCACTGTGCAGTAAAATGGAACCAGCAAAGGGGAAAGGGGGAAGCAGGAGATGGGAGTGCAGAGGTGTGTGTAGGTTGGTGAGAGCAGGATCTCTTCTTTAAGTACTAGTAAAAGTAGCAGCAGATATAATAGCACCTTTTAAAACAGCCAAGCAGGGATTTACTTTTCAATGCTATATTCCTGCAGCATGGTCCTGGAAACATAGTGGGCTGGTCTTGGGGCCAAGATCTGCACTGCAGGGCATTGTGTTCTGCCTCCACATTGTTCTAGTTCGCAAAGCTGTTTGTGCTGTCACCGAGTGGTTGACAGTGTTGTATTGTTCTTGTGAGCTTATTCCCAGCTTGATTGATTATGTCAATCCAGAATTGATTCAAGGCTGGTTTTAAGCCATCCATATGGCAGTTATCGACAGAAGAAAGCACTATAGCACACATTAAATTTATTATTCTGAAACTTTAGGAGGGATGTAAATGGTACATTAGTCTCATGCAAGCCTATGCTTCCTCAAATTTAACTATTTACTTGCTACTCTAAGTACTCTTACTTTGTACTTCAGTAAGAAAACATGCTACTGACTAAGAGCAGGCTTTTATCACTCTTCTTAGTCATAAAAAACCCTAAATCCTAATTTACTTCTTCTTTACACTGGCTTCTGTCTCCTAATAACCCATGCCTGCAATGAAGGTTCAAAGGAAAAACGGCTTTATAATTACTTAGAAAGGTCAAAGACATTACTTCCAACTTAAATAAAAACCCAATGAAATATACCACTTCTGGCACACAACAGCTCAAGAAGTAGTCACTCTCAATACCACATATTCAAAATTGTTACATATTCTAATAATAGTTTAAAATGTCAGGACATGTTTACTGGCAGAATGGAGAAGCCTAAGAGCAGCTGAGCCCAAGAGAAAAGCCCTGTTATGCTCCCAGCTTTTTCTAGCACTGAGTAGCTCCACCTTCACCGAAGGACAGTTCACCTGTGAAACAGATCATAAGTTATTTAGTTATTGCAAGGAATTTTACCATTTACATTAAATAAAACTGTTATGACATCTGTTATGCTGTGAGACTAATGAAAGCTTTGAAATTTGAGGAAAACAGAAATACTTGAAAACACTATTAGACCATAATTTTTGACGTTTTTAATTAAGTTCCAGGAGAATAAAAAAGAGTAAGAAAGAGGATTGAAGAAAAGAGGGTGGAAAAAAAGGAAAGAACGATGGGGACAGAAACAGAAGGAAAGCTCTGCTTGATAGTAGTTTACCAGGCAGTTTGCAAGCAGAGATAGTCAAAAATGGAAAGGCATTCATCTACTATTCAATTTCAGTGAGATGCTAAACTCCTCAAGGTCAGCTCAGAACCCAGCTTGAATTTTGCTGAATCTATAAATTCTGCAGATCAGGGGTCTTTGCTTCTCTCCATTTTAAAGTACCCGAAAAACATTAATTATTATGCCCCTGGTACATTTTGTAAACATTTGAGGTAATCAATCTATTACAAAAAACACTGTATTATTCTCCTGCTAGAAGACAACCCCCACTCTGAGTTCTAGAGAATGCAACTCATAGTTAGGAATTTTGGTAATTTAAACTTCCTCCCACCAGCACATGCAAATGACTGCAAGTACTGACAAGAGCTGCATTCTGACAACCCTCATATCCCCGAACACGCTCCCGCAGCCGTCAGGAGAGGCAGCAAAAGGCCATGTTGGGGAGCTCACTTACTTCATAGTTCTCTGCCTTATGAGGCAGCACAGTGAACAGATCCTTTACTTATTGCTTTCAGGTTACCAAGCACAACAGATTTAAAAAAAAAATCTTGAGGACGAGTATGCGAGAAATTAGGTAAACTAGGGGATAGTGAAGAGAGGTGGTAGAAATTAAGATGTCAGTTTTTATCCCTTCTTCTATTACTGATATCTGCGGATATTACAAAGGCAATTAGTCAGCTCTGGTTTTTGCAATCTCTGAAACAGTAGGAACTGCTGATGATAAATGTGTTTAGGGATTGCATATTTGAGGGTTTCCTGGAAGTGTGTGAAACATACTTCACAATATATAACTCTCTTAGGCCTCATTTTCCAGTGCCTTGTTCCTTGTACCAGATGTTTGCATCAATGTCTCATGAATGAGAACTGCATACAAAGTAAGTTTCTGTGGGTTTTATGATTCATGTTCATTATCAACCAATAGGGAGTCATAAAATCAGGCTAAAGATTGCTTCAACAGGACAGCTAATTTATGGCAGTGATAAAATCTCTCTACACAAGGTGTTCATCTATTTACCACGCCTACCATTTTTTCCTAATAGGTGATGGCAATCCTTCTTGTTCCAAATAAAACACTTGTTATCTTCAAATCCACAGAGAACTGGTCTAGCTTTTCTTTTTCTTTACCTGAGACTTCCATGGTTTTGACTGCCACTACTAAGTTCCCCTTTGCTTCCTCTTTTTTAGGATGATGATCTCTAGTTCTTGAAAACTTTACCTCGTGCTTTCTTCCTTCCCGACGACTCTCTGCTCCCTCCTGGAGTGCTCTGCCTGCTTTTGCTTTCCAAACCTTTTCCTGCAGAGTGGTGCTGAGGACTCAGCGGTATCGCTCCGGCCCTACGACCCTCTCCACGCAGAGCGGGTGAGGACAGCAGGCGCCTCACGGGAGCCTCACGACACACGCTGGTCGTTCCACCAACAGCTCAATTATTAACACTGTCCACACGGGTACTTCTCTTAGTGCTTTCAAAGGCTGCATTCGCCTACTTAGCGTGACGGGCTCTTGTAGCGCAGCTCCGTATTCGCGCCTTATTCCGCAACGCCGAACGCGGGACCTCCCGGCCGCGGCGCTGCCCGGCCAGGGGCAGGGGCAGGGACAGTGACAGGGGCAGGGACAGCGACAGGGGCAGGGACAGCGACAGGGGCAGGGCCGGGGCAGGGCCGGCCCCCTCCCGCCGCCTCCTCCGCTTCCTCCCGGCCCCGCCTGTTGATGTTTCACTTGCTTTTAATTCCCGGGTCGCAAGATGGAGGCGGTGCTGGCACGTCGGGAGCTGCTGCTGCTGCCGCTGTCGCTGCTGCTGCCGCCTCTGGCCGCCGCTCTGCTGGGCCCGGCCGCGCCGCTGGGACAGGTACCGCCGGGTCAGCCCTGCCCTGCCCTGCCCTGCCACTGCCACTTTCCCTGCCACTGTCCCTGCCCCTGCCACTGTCCCTGTCCCTCTCCCTGCTCCCGTTCCTGCCCCAGCCCCGGCCCTGCCCCTGCCCCTGCCCGTGCCCCGTTCCCTCACAGGGGTGAGCCGGACCCTGCCGTGGGCAGACAGGGTTTCCCCTCTCCCTTTGCTGTTTTTCCGTATTCCATGTGTATCTGACAGGTCTGAGGGGGAAGGTAGTTACTTCTGTGCAATATAGCTGTGTTTATGTTGTATTTTCAGGCTTGTCCGCCTACATCTCCATGGTTCAGTGCCGTACAAGTACACACTGCATTAGGTCTACACTTGAGCCTAGCCCACTCGTGATTCGAACCAAGAAAAGGGTTTTGATGTATTGGTGTATATCTATAAATACACAGGGCATTGTGTTGTCTGTTTTTCTAGTCCAATATCTATGCTGTATCTTGGTGACATCGGTTTTAAATTTGATGGCTTTTTAAAAGAGTGGAAGGAATGTTTTGGGTATTACTTAGGAGAACTTTCCAGTGGGAATGAAAAGATTTGCCACAGCACGAGGTGAGCTCTGACCTCTAGAATTACAGAAAAGCTGGGTACTTTTGCCTGAGCTTGAGTTATGATCAGATACGTCATCTAAAATTGTTATAATTGTGAACCCAAAGTGTAAGATCACAGAGGGAAGAGTTGTGAGGGGTTTGTAGTCAACTTGTCTAGCCAGTGTGAAGTTACTGTTACCTGACCAAATTTATTATGTCTTTTTTCCCTCCAGAGTTGTTTACTTATTAGTGTAATTTAAGTAAAACATTTCCAAGAAAGCCTGGCAGAGGCCCTGCACTGGCACATCCTGTGTTGCGAAGCAGGATTCATTCCTGGCCTTACTTCCTGGTTTCTGCTTCTCTTTATGAATTTTTGAAGAGAGACCTCCTTAGCTCTGATTTCAAAATGGGGATCTGGATCTTCAGACGCCTGCAAAAGTGCCTGAATGCCTGAAGTGAGGTGCGCTAAAGAGAGCAGAGGGAGCTCAGTATTTGGGTACTTTGCTTATCCCCCTGAGAAAGGGAGTGCGGATTTGAATTTGCCAAAAGCCTCATGAAGTGACAATGTAATGCAGACTTAGGCTCTTGCTCACCTTCTACCCAGAAACTGTCACACTTCCACACTGAAACTACAGCTCGGTGGCATTAAAGTTGTCACTGCTGGCAGTTTTAAAGGACATGGAGGCACATTTGTGTCTGCTGTCTTCGGATGTGAAAGAATGAGCAGGGCACAGGGGTGCTGGGGCAGTGCCACGTAAGGCAGCGTGGGGTCAGGGATAGAACAGGTGTGTTTTGGAGTGTGAGTAGGGCTTGACATAGGAACTGTAGTGCCTTATGGGCACAGCTGTGCTATTTATGGGGTTGAGTTTGTCCATTTGTGCTGTACTGCTCAGGTGGTCTTGTGAGCTCATGATTTGCTAATTTGGAAGTCTCTGCACTCTTTTAGTTTTATACGGGTCTGGTGGCCTAAGTATATGCAGAAAAAGGGACATAAAAATTTCTACTTTGGTGTTTTTTTTCTTTTTATATGTTGAACTTAGCAAAATAAAAAACTTGTGTTTTCTCCTGCATATTTAGTTTTGTACATACAGGACCAGTTTGATGCAAAAGGAACAGTGTGTCTGGAGAAGGTTTTGAATAGAAGAATCAATGTTTTTTGACACACAGGTGTTTTTTAGTGGCCTGTTGCAAACAGAAGTGCCTAGGCAGTGGGAATAGGTAGAGTGGGAATGCCATGCTGTCAAGTTGCCCTCAGAAGCTATGAGTTCAGTGACAGTGGGCTACAGGGTCAGAATAACTATGTTTTTTCCTCAGGATCGCTTGGGACTGCAGACTGGTTGGGAGCAGGCAGCATCAACATGGTCAGCTTTGCTTTGGCTGGACACTACAGCTGTGCTTTACAACTCTGCGAGCCTGCTGGCTGCACTCTACTAACAGCTTCACATGTTGTTAACTCTTCCGTGTCGGGTTTAAAGCTGGTGTTAAAGTTTACCTAGGTGCTGATGGCAATAGTGTTACAAAAACCGTAGTGGAAGGACTGAGGAAAAACCTTGATACACTGGAATAGCATTTTGTAAGGCTGAAATGCTTTTGTTCAGCTCTGGAATGTGAACGCCTCAACTGTTGTGCAATACTTGTAATTTCTTAAAAAAGCTGTTTTGAAATCTGGACTTTTTTTTTTTTTTTTTTTACATCAGCATGTCTGTTATAGTTTTAATTTCTCTTCATAAAATTTGGATATGCAAAACTGGAGTAAAGACTGATTGATTTTAGACATAATTGTGGGTTTGTCATTGTGGTTTTGGGCTTTTTTTATTTTAAAAAATTTAAAGGGACTGATGCAATAAGACAACTGACTTTCACATTAAAGTAATATTTCTGGTGCAAGGTCAGGCATAAGGTTTTGTGCCTTAGAGTATTTTTTTAATATGCTGAAAGCAGTACTAACACCATGTTATTTGCTTATTCTGTTTACCTCTTGATAATTGAGGCTAGCAGAGTTCTTTCTAAATAACATACTTGCCTACCAGACTTTTTTTTCTTCTTAGTTTAGTTCAGTTGCCTGGAAAAAAAATGATTTTATAATATTTGTTGCCTGCAAGAAACCTCAGTGTGGATGGGTCGTTTCACAACAGCAAGAAATAATCTTCACTACATCAACCATTTGATGCAGTGAGTACAATGTATTTTAATCAAAGAAGAAACTTGTTAATAGCAATGTGCCGGAATGTTTCTTCCATTGCTTTATGCCAGTTTCTCTATTAGCAGTCCGGCACATGTGAATTTTAGGCCTAAAAGAGCTGACATCATCTTCCAATGTATATTTGATTAAGTTAAAGCAGTATTATGCAGTTGTGTCTCTGTGATGTGAGACTGAGTACTCACCTTTAAAACTCATGATAAAATATCATAGTATAGGCTGTTTTAATAGGAAGGATACAAAGGCAATTAATTCTAGTAACACATATTGGGAAAAGGGAAGGATAAACCACTTATAGTAAGAGTAATTGTAAAACAAGGAAGGAATGAAAGTAAGTGTGCTTGTTCAGAAAGGCAAAGTAAAGGAAAAGCATCATGTCAGATTATTGTATTAAGAAAGAGTTCAGCTTTAGCTGGTTAAGAAAATACTGGATGTAGTGATCTTACCCTAAATACTGTCATGCAGTTTAATAATGCCAAATCTTAATGGAGAAAATTTTGTACAAAAATTTTCTGAAATGTGAAGGACAAATTATTGTCCTGCAAACTCATGAGATTCCATCATGTCATGTCAAGCTTTTACCATGGTTACTTCTCAATTCAATTATGTCTGATTGCAGTTAAGACTACAACATAATTCTGTTTTGATTCTTATGAAAGAATTATGTGCAGCATGGATCATGGAACCCTGGATTGCAATATATAGTTACACTATGTGGAGTTAGCTGTCCATATGAGTGTCAGGACTCAAGTGGTATGAGTTTGTGTGGTAGTTTTGTTTGTCTATTCAGACACTTCCCATAATCTCTCTTCAAATTTAGAAACAGGTTACTGGTTTTGTCTATTTTTTACCTGTTTGGCAACCTGACATTTTTCAGTTGCAAATAGGATATCAGCAGTGCCTGTGTAATGGCTGTGAGGGGATTGTCTGCCTTTCAAGTCTCTGTACAGCTGCCCATCTTGTGAGGCATTGTGCCATCTGTTCCTAGGGCTGCCCACTTGGCTTCCCACAGGCCTTGCAGCAGAAAGAGCCTTGTTTGGAGAGCCTCAATAGAGAACAGCTGTGCTTCAAGTGGGCCAGCTGCTAGCAGCAGAATCCTGATGGGGTTTGTGTGACTGATGCAGCTGTGTAGGACTCAACAGTTACCCTGTACTGTGAGAAATTGTGCAGTGCACCCCATCAGGTATTCACTGCCTGTGGATAAAGTTTTTCCATTATTCTTTAATCAGATCTGTTTGAAGTTCCTGTGTGATTGGACCCATCAGCTTCTTTTGCAGCTTTTTTTAAAAAAGCAATATTAGGTGAAATATTCTCTGTAGATTTGTGTGGTGTTAGTCTTTGAGAATTAATGAATATTCCCTTTTAACTTATGTCTGATGCTTTATATTCTTTGCTGACATCTTTTCCCCTTTTTGTTCTTCTGCTGCTACTGTGATTATAATGCCCCAGTTAACAGTCCTGTATTCTGTTGCAGCCCACAGTGAAAGAGAAAATGAATAGAAAATGATCACTACCTGCTTACCTCTGCTGATCCAAGCTCACAAAAATTCACTAGTTCACTGTAACCTATGCCATCACACTGTTAGTGCTGCTGCCTAGCTGTCCTAGAACAGAATGACTTACACTTGTGGTAGGGATGCTGTCCTCTTTGCAGATTCTGTGGCCATTATCACTGTAAATATCACTGCTGGAGTACTAAAACAGAGATAAGAAATCACAGAAAAACTCAGGAGAGACATTTACATCCCGTAAGAGCATTAAGAATGATGAGGGTAATTTTTAGTGCAGATTGGAGTTTTGTGTGAAGGCATTTACCATCACAGGAGGGGACAAGGGGCTGCAAAGTATGGAAGTGGGTCAATGGTAAGCTGAAAGCACACCCCAGTTCTTAGGGACTT